TGGCTTTTCGCACAGGGTGACACACTTGCGTGTCCTCCGCGCAAAGCATACGAGTTTTCCGCGTGCTACAAGGGCAAAGCGAAGAGAGAGGAGTTTTCCGCGTGCCGTACGTACAGTCGCGGACTTAAGTTCGTGAACAGCCTGCACTTGCATCTTAGGTGTTTTGTTCATGAACTTTAGTACCCGACTGTACAGAGGTGGCAAAATATGTGATGCACATACGGTAGAAAATCGTGACGTGTTTTACGCACAAACGCAATGTTCGCAATCGCTGCCCTGAATGCTCTGGAAACTCCCGCTAGGTTTAACATCATGTCGTTATCGACGACCGATAGATGGCGATTGCAGGCTATGGCCTGTTGAAGCGGGACGTGAAATAAGCCAATGTCTAAGCCATATTCGCGAGAAAACCAAGCGAATTCTCAAAAAATTAGATTTTGTCATTCCAGCCGTAAGGCAATGATTCACGGACGCGTAGCGCTGCCTCCAGCCGTTATGACAAAAAATAAAAATAAAAATAAAATTTTATTTTTTTAATCAAATAGAGCCAACTGACGTATGATCGGCCGTGGAAATCCGCTGGCATTTGGAATGTTCTACTGTCATATCGCGTAGCTACTGGCTGTGGGCGGGGGCAAAGAGGGAAAGGTCGAATTGAGAGTCAAATTGTACAGCTTCTTGTAATTTTCAGAATTCAATTAAGATCAATTCGAGGTTAAAACCCTTCGTGAAATATGTGCATTAAACTGCACGTCAAATTAATTGAAATGAATCTTAGTACTGAAAGCGAAGGATAAAATTGAGGTTAGAATTACACTGATCAAACTGTTCTCTCTAAAAGGAGGATTAACCTGTTGGTCAAACTACTAATAGAATGATGTTCTGCGTGAAAATAGGTCCAATTTATTGCGAGAATCGCACTGATCAAATAAATGAGAGTCAGAGTTCGCGGGTCGGGCTGGGGGGATTGTATAGAACCACTTGATCACACGTAGTTTTGGAAACGAAGGGTCAAATTGAGATTAAAATTGCACTAATTGAACCATGTTCTTAAAATTAAGGGTCAAACCGTACTAATAGAATAATATTCTCCAGAGAAGTCTGCCAAACGTCAGTAAAATCGCATTGACTATATCGTATGCTGGAAAATGAGGGTCAGAATATATAGGTCGAATGACCAACAAAATCGGTCCTCTTGTTGCTGGCTATAGCTAGTAGCCCCATAATATGGCTGTGGCCACCTATAAAATGCTAGCTGATTTCGATGGCCATTCCATGACCGTTCAGGACTGTGCCGAGCCCAGCTATAATCATACTTGGAATGTCATTTTAATCACGTTGTACATAGGAGTACCGTAAAAAAATCTACACTTATTAATTTATTACACAAATTATAATTCCAGAGAAGAAACAAACGACAAAGAGACGAAAAAAAGACGAGGAAGATCCTGACTACGATTTGCTTCCTCCACACGGAGAAAAAATTCAAGTAAAAATTACTATGCTAGCCGAATAATGGTGTAGCATTCTTCCTTTCTAGTTTATTTTATCAAGACAATTGAAAAAAAACTAAAATGTCAACAAGAAAAATTCTTGTCTCACTTATCAAATTTTATTTAGTAGCATGGTAATTTATTCCAGGTCAATCGATTTTATACCCCTGTCGAATAAAAAAAGTTACCCGGAANTGCCGCATTCGTGGAGCGGATGTATATTTTAAATTAGTTCAATGTAGGAGACCGGAATAAAGTGAAACGCGGGGGCACAGTAAAACGACGGGGAAAAATGGAATTTGATGTAAAGTGAAATGATAACAAATTTCCACCTCAAGGATCAAGATCAAATGAGAGAGAGATGAGAACAATCAAAGGTTCTTGAAAATCAAGTAGGAGAGGTACAGAAAACAATAGGTCAAATTACGGATACAAGATTCTGATTAAGATGTGATTGTCAAGAACCTCATTAACGCTTAAGTGGTCGCATAATGAGAGAATTCCCGCCGTATTTTATTTTTTTCTCGTCACACAAAAACTTCGCGAATGAAAAATCCATAAAAATTTGTATTCCTACTCTCAAATATGTAGAACACATTAACATCTTTTTTTTCGGTCCAGATTTACATCAATGAATTATTAAAATCTTTTGAAAACTCGACTCGCTGAAAATCCCCATGTTTAACCTCAAAATTTCATAATTTTTGACTTTTTCAAATCGAATTCTTAGATTATTTGGCAACTATTCCGCTTCCATAACCCCCATTTCTTATTCATCGAAAGTTCAAAATTAGCTGTAAACGTGGAATACATTTTTTTTTTCTCTTACCATGCGAATAACTACCTTCGGGAGAGAGCTGCGCCCACTTGAGGATATCCAAGTAGTTCAGGCAATTTTTTCTGGGGGAAATCCCTTACTTTCCGAACATTTTTCCAAGAAAACGAGTTAAAAAACAATGAAATTTAACACATTTCGTCCACAGGAGCTGTATACTTTTACCTTCAATCTACTAGTTCATAGTCTTAAAGCTTTTGTTCGTACACATAACCGCATATGACTTTGTTCATTATACTCTCTAGTTTATTTTGCAACATTAAAAAACATAAGTTTCCGGACAGATAATTGCAAACAATCAAATTAAAAGCTTCTTGATTGGTAAGACGGCCATATTGGGTAGTTTGAATCCGCGTGTTCCTGACTCTGGCAACGGTCCACTCAAAGTGACTACTCGGACCGAATTTACAGGGTTATATGGAACACATGTGCAATGTTGCCGTATGATCATTGGAGGTTAGACAACTGGAGTCAAGTGTGAAATTGAATAAAATATTGCTTACAATTTTCATTGAAGAAATTCCCGAAAAAATGTATTCAACTATGAAAAATCCAAAAAAGTATGGGGATGGCAAAATTTTCAACAAAGCTGAAATTTTGATTGAAAAAAGTTGCTAACTTGAACGAAGTACTTGGATATCCTTAACCTTTAAGTGGTCGCATAATGAGGAAATCTCCGCCGTGTTTTGTTTTTTTCTTTTTATCAAAATCTATACAAATTTGTATTTCTATTTTAAAATAGGAACACATCAAGAACACATTAACATTTTTTTTGCGGTCCAGACTTACATCGATGAATTATTAAAATCTTCTGAAAACTCGACTCGCTGAAAATTCCCATGTTTGACCGCAAAATTTCATAATTTTGCACTTTTCCATGGAGAGCTACGACCACTTAAGGCTTAAGGGTTAACGAGTTCACACTCTGCTGATCCATTTTAATTTTCTCCTGTAACTGTCAATAATGTTCTTTTGTTACCGTTTCACTTTGTCCCGCGTTCCACTTTAGCCCGGTCTCTTCTACAGCTTCAAATCAGCTTCAGTAGCATGATCAATTCAAATTGTTTCCACAGGTGGAAATTTTTCCCAATTCCGATATTTGGATTGACAAAATAATAATGCGCGAGATGGTCCGAAAATACTTAGACCAGCCGAACCTTTTGGTCCAAGAATTGATGGTCAAAATTATGGGTGATGATTTAATAGGGAAGACACCACAAGGCAATGGGGGAAAATCTTCGATTCCGAGGGAAATTTTCAAGACTGTAAGGTGTATGTTGGAAGCGTCCTATCGGTTCAATAAGGAACAAACTTACAAACTAGACTTAATGATGAGTTTTCAGGTTGTAGAAAATTGATAATAATAATAATAACAATAATAATAATAATAATAGTAATAATAATAAAATTCAATTGTTTGAATGAAAAATTATTAAAAGTCATTGAAAATTGGTCATAATCAAACAACTTAGAGCTTAACTTGAAGAAAATTGAAATGGAAATTTTCAAAACGTAACATGCTAAAATCAAAACATTATCACTTATAACAATTTATCTAGTGGACAGAATAGATAATATAGGGTATCAATTTGAAGATCTCGGTGAGCCATTCAAATTGATATATATATCCCCTCTGGTCAAGTCTGAAGCCTTGATAATCGACGAAAACTGTCCTTTTCATAGTGTGACATAACGTAAAAAATTAATTAATTGAATCAGTATCATCATGCACGATTTTGCAGAGGAGTAAATGCTGTTCAAAATAATGTATAAATATCCCTGTTTAGTCCATTTAGCAGTATCAAAAAATCCAACTAAAGTCAATATTTCAAGTGAAACATGAAATTAGTATATTGTGTACCAGGTACACATACTATTTTTCGTCATATCTGCACAGTATAGTTCGATTTTTCTTCGTAAATTCAGGGAGGAACGTGGGTTACGTCATTTCGAGGATCGTCAAAAACAACAGCAATCCGAGGAATGGAATAATCCACTTTCCCCCCATCATTTGGAGAGGAAAATCGAACTTTCCGTGCAGATATGACGAAAATTCAATTTTCGTAAAAAAAAACCTCCTAAGTCAATCATAAACCGTCAGAAATGAACATATCATGTTTCATTTTGAAGCTTATTCAATAAGTTTCCGAATGAGTATATTATATGCATGGTTGATGGAAGTGGAAGAAGAGCTTGAGCATAGAAATGAAAGAAAGAAGTATTAATTAAAAATTTATTGTAATTTGGTACAGAATATTAATTTTTTACAACAAATTCAAGATGCCAGGAAATTCTCGTCTTACATGAGCTGAAATTTGTTTTGTTTTTATTATTCAACCCATTGCAGAACACTACGAAACAGAATTTTCATCTTCTTGTCTAATTATAAAGTTCAATAGAAATAATTTTTTTTTTATTAAAAACGAAATTTTTACGGATCTATTTGGAAGCTTACTACCAATGGAATCAGTATAAATGCAAAATTAAAAAGACGAATAATACTTAAAGTTACGGTCACATGCCTTCTGACGGATAGGCTCGGCCCCCTACTTTTTTTAAATGAACATATACATGTTGTATAGTTTGAGGACTCGATATTTGCATTCCTAGATGCAGCTAACAGTCTTTTGATTCCAAGAAAACAACTCAGTTTCCCCGTATACAAACGGATCATGAATCAGCTATGTTGGCGAACAAACAATACTGCTGGAGTTAAGCCTCAAAAAGTCCGAAAGGGTATTAATGTCGACACAGAAAAAATTAATGAAGAAGATAAAGTCCAAAAAGAAGTGATAGATGAAGCCCAAGAAGTACAAAAAATAAGTGATAATGGTGGAGATGACGAAAATGGCAGAGATAAGGGAGATGACGTAGACGACAGAGATGTCGGAGATGACGAAGAAGATACAGAGTAAAAAAAATCCGTATTAATGTTGTTGTCGTGTAACTTTTTTTCGACATTTTTTTTTTCAATTTTCATAGAATACCGCTCTACGAATTGGCTGTAAAATGAGCCCATTATAATTGCAATTGACCATTTCATACTCGAGATATATTTTTTTTTAATTTTACACGTTGTTAAATGCAGTGTCATCGGTTTCAATTTAAAAAAATAATAACTCGACATTTTTCATTTAAAAAAAAACAGTGTAGAAATGGTGAATCAATCTACTGAAAAACATGACATTTTTTCATAGTTTTTTGCCCCCAATGGGCGGGATAAGTGAGTTCAGTGACCGAGACGTGGCAACATACTCAATAAAACAAACCACGAATTCTGCCAGGTTAGGAGTCACGCGAACAGAGAGTCACACTGCGCGTGGTCGCCACCATCGACACCATCTGGAGTTAGCTAAATGCGCACGGATTCATGTATAGTACATTCATGTATGCGTGAGCAGAGTCGAACTGTACAGCAACAAAAGTTTTTGTTTCAACACGGGTTCTTGGTTTAGCTAGATACCAGCCTAAAGTGTGAAAAATTTCTAGTGTGGCTCTCTCGCGACAACAACCTTAATATACTCTGTGCATTCACACCGAAAAACAATGTAGACTCGTTTCCAATTCTTTTAGTGGTGGACTCAGATTTGAAATTCACTCAAAATTCTTTACTGTGTAGAGCATCAAGGGTCATGGAGATTGAAATACATTCGCCACTCCAGTCCATGTCTAAAAGCACTGGATCCACTCCAAACTATAATGCAAGCGTATCCACGAACAAAGCGCACCCTACTACAAATTACGGTGAGGAACTTAAACACAGATGCGTACAGACCTATTTCTACAGTCGCATTCAATCCCACTCACACTTATCAACATTCGGTAGGTACCCTGATAGAAGGGATCAGTTGCCCCTAACGAAACTCATACACTGTCAACCGTATTCATGAATAGTTCACGAATTGTTAGTTATAGTTTGGTAATAAGTCGCTAAGAGTGATTAAATTATTGAATATTTTCTATCATTTTACCAGCTTCAGTAGGTACCAGCTTCGGCAGTTATCGGGTTCGATTGTTAGGTTGATTGTCAGTTCTTTCATCCCTCGCGAACAACTTTTCACCCTTGAGCGGAAAGTATTCACCTTTCTAGGTACACACGATATTTTCCGTCATAATTATACGGTTAAGTTAGATTTTTCTTCGTAAATGAAGGGAGTCAGAAACAACCGAAATTCGAGGAATGGAATAAGCCACTTTCCGTCATTTGGGAAGGAAAATCGAACTTTCCGTGTAGGTATGACGGAAAATAATATGTGCACCTCAGAAGGGAAAAACATGACTTTCCGCCCTTACAATATACAATACAATCACAACAATATATTAATGTTGGTATTCGCTTTCATTATGCCTAGACTCTTAAATTAAAAACTCGAAATTACTCGTACGATTGTTATTATGCATTTCGGGTGTTGTCTCCAATAACTTCTATTGATTTAGCTGACTGTAAATGACTTCAGAGTACAAATCATGTGGTTTAGTGATTTCGATGATCTCGATGATTTGGATGATTTCATGTGATTTCGAATTAATTTCATCATGGAGTGGTGCCACGATTGCCGAAGTGAGTCTCCCCTTGGTTTTTTTAAAATCAGGGCAGGTCTGAAATCTGCGATGATTTTGTATAATCCGGCCTGGTAGCGCTCGGCGAACCTGACGTGTCTGCCTGAGTGCGTCGTTATGGGCACTGTTACTGTAGGTCATGGCTACATTGATGGTTATGATACTTCAGGCTCGGGTACTGGACAATGTTGAATATTTGAATAGGAGCGCTGATGAGTATTGCGGATGTCCGAGCATTTAACGAGGGTGTTGAAAGTAATATTGTGATTGGTTGCGAAATCAGACAAGGGATTGGTTTGGTGGAAGGCAATTTTCGCGCTAATTTAATCCAGTTTTTGGTCCGGGGTGACGTCATGTGATGAGCGAAGAATTATTGGAGGGATGTCAGTTAGGTATGAAGGATTAGTACACCTAATACCCGTCGATGAGTCGGGATTGAGATTATAGCATAGGAGAAAGCTTTTTATGATTTTGCGAGTCGGGAAAGTCCAGGATGAAATTCTTTATTTTCTGTGCGAGAGGGAGGAATGAGGGTGATTTGGCGAAAATGTTTTAAGAATTTGGAAATCGTGTATGCATAAAATGTTCCATAAACGCCCACTGCCTTTCACACATACAACCAGACACATGAATTAATCCAAACACGCCACTATTGTTGATCCCAACCATTGAATTCATAGATAAAATTATGAGCGCTTCAAAAGGAGACAATGACACCAATATGGAAAGACCAGAGGGATGTGAGGATGATGAAAACATGAATGATGCAAATCGTACGGAGAATGTTAGTCAATTCGACATCAGGAATAGAAGTATGAGTATTGATCAGAGAAGCGGAAACGCCAATAATATAGGTGGGGGCGTCCATCAATTACGTTAAAATTTTCAAATTCTACCGTGCTCTTCCCTTTTCCAGTAGCGTTATCCCCACTTTGTGTTGCGTCGAACGGACTTAGTCAAGCAGAGAGGATGGGCCTTTACGATCCGGGTCGTAAAGGCTCATCACCCGATACAATGCGCTCTATTCAACCCATTGAAACATACTAGAAAATTAGTAGGAGGACCAACGTTCTTGGCGCGGAGTTTTTCAACTCATTGTCTAGTATCAATCTAATTGTTCATCTTCTCATCCGCGCCAAGGACGTTGGTCCTCCTTCTACTAATTTTTTATTTCATCAAGATTTTTTTTAAATCCTCATTCGATTTGAAACTATTTCTCTTATAGAAATCTGATTGTGCATTATTTTCGTTTATTCGACATTGCTGACTTGGCTTTCTTTTTCATTTCTTTGCATTTTTCAAAAATTTCTACTTCCCGGTAAGAACCAAACAAAACTTTTTCTTGGCGCAGTTTTTTTTACAAAAACACGTGTTTTTGTTTTTTTAGGGATACCAGGTTTACCCTCGTCGAAATATGTACAAAATATATACCTATAATATGGCCTAATTTTATATATTTCTTAACACATAAACAGATACAAGGACGGGGGCAGGCACAGGGAAGAAGACAGGTACAGAGACTCTAACTGTTACAGGAACGGAAACAGGCACGTCACCAGAAACAGGTACTGGGATGGGACAGGTTACGGAGACAGTTATGGGAATGGTTATGGACAGAGGTATGGAGACATGCAGGAAGACATGCATCGAAACAGATACGCTGCCAGGTACAACGATCGGTACGGAGAGAGGTACGGGGACAGATACTGGCATGAATATGGGGACCGATACATGCATATGCACAGGGACAGGGATGAGTATAGGGACAGATACGGGAACATGTACGGAGACAATTACAGAAGGAGATTTTAAGATCGATCGCGAGGAAACTGGAGTAAGAGAGAAGAAACTTGTTGACAAAATTTATATTTAAATATCATGTTTTCGTTTAAAATTTCTTGTTTACCGATTTTGTTTTCTGTTTGTTGGAGCAATTGTTTGAGACAAAAAAAATGTTCCAACACTTGTTTTCTAAATAAACTGTTTGTTGCTTTTTTTCAAATAATCGAGTATATAAGTGAAAATCGGAATTTATATAACGTTTTACACCTTTGATTTTGGAGCGCCAACGACTCTCATCTGCTCTAATTCCACATGTTTACAATAGAAAATCTTATAAAAATGTAATCAAATATTGAATATTCGAAAGACAAACATCGAGATCATAAACGTGAGTCCGAACGGTGCATTTTCTCGCAAGCTAGTCGTAAGTAGCCAGTAAGCGCACTATGAGCTGTATGCGACAGATTTGAAAGACAATGAACAGTCCAGGCTGAAGTGATTATGTGAACGATGAAGGTTATGCTCCTCGCTCGAACCGGTCACGAACTTGCAGTGCCAGATACAGTGGCATTCTCTAATCAGTCAAATCATCTCTCTAATAATCGTCCATTTTTTTTTGGGGAAGAAAGCCATGCCCAACTATTTTCGCTTGTGGGATATCATAATTATTATTGTGGTAAACCAATTTTAAAATTTGAAGGAATAATCAACTACTTCTCAATCCTCAACCGATTGTCTTCATGCCCTCAACTCGGATCGCATTATGACTAGAGTATTCCCCTCATACACCGCGATCATAACTTCGTCTCGTTTTTGAGGTTCTTCGAGGACATCAATTTTGAGCTTTACTTCTTTTCATGTATTCGGCCCGCAACCCTTGAAGCCTAATGAGATGTTCGATTCATAAGGTAGAAAATTCCCGAGCATTTGTGAGATCCAAAAAAGGCCAATTCAATTATGAGACCCAAAATTAATGGAAGCCAAAAATGCAGCCCAAAATGATCCGCAAAATGGTGAGGCAAAGATGAGGCTCAAAATGGTCAGGTAGCTGTGATTAAACTTCACTTTGGTGCGCAGTTTCTGCCCGATCGGTCCAGTAGTTCCTGAGATATATCAACTTCTTTAAATTTCTTTTTTCATCAATATCTCGAAATCTACTACGCCGATTAATTTTTTTTTTCAAAATACTCGCCTTGATGGCTTCTATCTAGATCAATCAAAATATATACACACGTTCAGTCAAAATTTAAAGATATTTCCGGTTTTCCGTTTTTTCATGGAAAATCGTTTTTACACGATAACTTGATGAAACATGGTCAGATCGAAAACAGTAGATCCCAAAATGCGCAGGCTAAAAACGGTTGAACCCAAAATGGCCGGGTCCAAATGATCTTACCAAAGATGATCGGTCCCAAAAATGAGCGGTTCCAAAAATGGTTAGACATAAAAATGGTAGAGTCAAAAAATGAACAAGCCAAAATGGTAGGTCCAAAAATGGCCGGGCCAAAAAAGGTAGACCAAAAAAGTTGGTCCAAAAATGGTTCAGTCCAAAAATGACCAAACCAAAATTACCGTACCAAAAATCAGCGGTCCAAAATGGTCGGGCCCAAAAGTGGTCTGACATGAAAATTGTTGAGTCAAAAAATGGTCGCCCCGAAAATGGTTGGCCCAAAAAAGATCGATCCAAAAATGACCGGGCCAAAAAGATCAGTCCCAAAAACAGTCGGGCCCAAAAATGAACGGTTCCAAAAATGGTCGGACCCAAAAATGAGCGGTTCCAAACGTGGTCGGACATGAAAATGGTCGAGTGAAACATGGCCGGCCCGAAAATGGTTGGCCCAAAAATGATCGATCTAAAACTGACCGGGCCAAAAATGAGCGGTCCCAAAAATGGTCGGACCAAAAAGGTCGGTCCGAGAATTGTAGAGCCCAAAATGGTCGGGCCAAAGCCGCTGAGCCAAATATGACCGCACAAAAATGTGCGGTCAAAAAATGAGCGGGCCAAAATGGTCGGATCAAAAATAGTTGGGTCAAAAATGTTCAGTCTAAAAATGGACGGGCCAAAAATTTCCGGGCTGAAAAATGGTCGCGCCTAAGAGGGTTAGCTCCAAAATTGTGAGACCCAAATTATGCAAAATGGTCAGTCGATAAATGAAGCCCGAAATGCTTGGGCCCAAAGTGGTCAAGCCAAAAATAGCCTGGCCTTAAATTTTTGGGCTCAAAATAGTTGAGCCCAAAATGGTCAGGCTCAAAAATTGTCAACCGCAAAATATGACAAAAAATAATCGGGCCGAAAATTACGCCAAAATGCGGTCAGGTCCAGAATAAGACCCAAATTTTATAGCTGTAAAAAACATCTTTAATGATCTTTCAAAAATCTTTTTATATTATTTTTGGAAGATATTTCGAAGACAAATTTTTATCTTCCAAAGATCTTTCGCATTATATTTGAAAGATTTTCCGAAGACAAATTTTCATCTTCCGAATAATCTGCGACACAGAAAAGATCTTGCAAATAATCTTTCGAAATATCTTCCAAAAAAATTTCCGAAGATCTTCCAGACAGAATTTTTTTTACCCGGTCTCTCTTTAATTTTACACAATTATGTGATAATCCACGTCTGGAGTATCACCGTTCATCCACTCGTTGAAAATTAATACAATTTAATATCAATTAATTCCGGAAATTTCCTCTGTATTTTTACAACATAAAAATATTATCGCTCAGCTCAGGATGTTCTATCCTCAATTTCCATAACAGAAAGTCACCAATATTCGCTGAGACAATTTCTTGTTCACAGAAATCAACTAAATCAAAAGAATAGTATATTTCGTAACGAGTGCAAAAAAGTGTTTTTTGGCGAGTGGGAGGGTTAGCCGAAGGCTCGTGATATAATCCCACGAGCTAAAAAACATTTTTTCACGAGTTACGAACAATATTTTTCATCACAATGTGGCGGCTCCGTATGCCTAAAAATCCATAATTGTCCTAAAAAAATTATTTTTCCATGACTAAATTTCTCCGGTTAATTATTAGTGATAAATCAACTCATCCGGGTCGAATATAATTGAATTTAATTAATATTTTACGAATTTATGGCTTCTTTAGAAATAATTAGAATTTTACTCGTTAACCACTTTCGGTGGTTTATCACCCGATATGGCGTAATCGGACGCCGATGGCGCAATTAACAAAACTCCGAAAATCTCCAATATCAATTATCCCAAAAAAATTCCGGGCGTTCACAATTTTGGCGGCACGAGTTTATTCGTAATTATCGCACCTATATAACGCATTAATCATTTTTCCCAATACTCGAAATCCCCACGCACGTAATTACTGCAATGGTACTTACAACACGTGGTTTCCTCTCTCGGTTGTTGGGAATTACTAATTCTGGCTTAATTCGCTCGCCAAGTCCAATTTCTCCTTGCCGAAGGGAATGTCCGGGCCTACTCTCCTATCTCGTAGGAGAAAACGCACTCTAATCGCTCAAATAACTTATAATTTAATTTTAAGTTTAAAGTGGTCACCACTGTGTTCCGTACGATCCAAAGTGACGAAAGATGGCCGATTTTTCGTTGTCCAGGTCCGAGTTGTGGCTCGTCGTCTGTTCTAATTCTCTCAGCCAATGGGAAAATGCCTAACTGTCATTTAGTATCTCTCCGGGTTAATCAGGTATGTAAATTTGAGGTTGATTGGTGGTTCGCCTTGAACTTCAGCGCTTGCACGATCATCTTAGTTATTAATTCCCCTTAAATCCCTATCCGGGATGCTGTTATGTCCTACCGATGTTACTAGGAGGACAGTAGCGCCGTTGATTTTATTTCAGCGCCAAAACTTGAATCTGGATCCGTTAGCCGCTAAACCTCTGAAGAGGACTCCATCGAAGACGACTCGTTGATAATCAGGATAATTGGATTAGGGTTAATTCGTTGAAATAAATCCAGTACACAAGTGCTTAGGAGAGCACATCAAAACTTTATTCCACTACTTCAACTTTTCTTCAACTTCACCGTGATAACATTAACTTTAGAAAACTCTATATTAATAACTTTGAACTCAAGAAAAACTAATTTGAAGAGAGAAGCTGGAGGTTCGCTATATCGAACAGCCACGGTGGGACTGACTTAATCTTAAACTTATTTCTAAGGGTTGGGTCCAACAACCCCCACTTAACGAAAAGTTGCGCACGCAAGCTTTTAACTGAAGCCAAGGCAAAAGTCAAGGCGCAAAAGAAAATAGGGAAAGGGAAAAAGGGGCAAAAGGAGCTGAGGAGAGCGTGTGACGTCACGTTCTGCGTCTTGGGAGGGTCTCAGGCCCTCAGCCTGGCAATACAATGAACAAAGGAGAGCACACGTGTTGGAATAGAGAAAATTTATGATACACAGAACGGAGATTTTATGACTCTAACTGTCATTCTGTTGAGTGAGTATTTTTCTTTCGAGATTTGGGTTTTCGGAAAATGTTTACGTGACGAATTTCAAGAGTTGTAAATAATTGAAACAAAGCTCAAGTGTTTGACATTTATGTTTTCTGTAACGGTTTTTCTCACGCCCGTGAAGTTATTTCTCTTCCCTTGTTCATTGTGCTGTGTTCTTTCTTTTATTATTTCTCATATTTTATTTTGAATTTAATTAATTATTCGATTAATTTGAATCTCGCGGACTATTACCGTTAATAAAAAGCGCCATCTATAAACTTGGACCTCAGGACATCACACCTTCCCCCATATAATAAAAATTAGACTCAACAAGAGTCTAATTTTTAACGAGTCTTATCGATATATTCATTTATCAGGATAATATTGTCATATAGTTGAACTTCTTTTATAATGAACTTATGTTATTATTTACATCCTTATCATTATACAATGTCTTAAATGATTATTTTTTCGATAAAAATGCTGGTTTCAACTTATTTATATGTACAGTTTTTGTTCGATAATCTGTGAGTTTTATCACTGCATTCTCGTTATTTGTCACTTTCTGTATCTCATATGGTCCTAGATAATTAGCATCTAATTTATTTGTCTTGGCATCATTAATTAAAAATACCCAATCTCCTGGCTGGA